ACAAGAAGGTTCAAAGCACAAACTTTGTCCACGTTGCTGCAACAGTTAACACTGACATCTTACAAGCCCCGTAACGTTTAAGTCGATGGCCTTTAAAAGCGGAAATTAGACTGACATCCAGTAAAAAAGAGCGCGAAGAAATAAGCATTTAATTAAATCCTTTCTAAAGGAGGTGCACCTGGTTAAAACGGCACAGAGGCCGATGTTGACTGCATCCAGGTCGTTAGAACTGTAGACTAGCTTTGCCTTGGTTTTTGCATTCTAAGTAATAACCGAAAAATTTAGAATTCAAAAGGTGTCACCTTTTAACTGCACAAGTTTAACCTGTATAACCAATATCCTAAAGGATTTTTTGAAGTTGAGGACTTGAGAGAAAGATGAGCTAGACGGGACACCTTGAACTACACAAGGCCTGGTAGTTTAACAGCCGACCTAATGGTAGTAAAATGTTCGATTCCTGCTGAACAATCGCAGTCACCTTTTTTCACCTAAGGAACCAGCTCTGGTATAAGCCGCAGATTCAGGAGCCCACAGGAATTCCTTTAATCTATTCATTTAGTTATCTATCAAGTGTGAAATGCGTCTTCATACAGAGTCCTGACAACTCATCATTCAATAAACTCTGCCTTTAGTTGAGTTCTTATTTTTACTGCTTATAGACAGTAGATAGGTGGTCCTGGTGCTTGAAAACTATCCGCAAACAAGGTTCAATGGGCAGCAATTCGTCGAAATCAACCTTGTTGAAATAAAACATACCAATGAGCGTCGAATTTCGTGGTCCTGCAAAGGTACATCGTCTGCCAACCATGTGGATCCACTAAATGCACTTTCTGGACTATACCAAGTGAACTTGTTTTTCCGCAAATTGTCGAACGCGTCGAAGAGCTTTACGCCAACTGCGACACCACAGACACCTAAGGGATACCAAAAAGTGTGAAATAATACACCTAAGTAGCACATAGAATACTCAGGTTACTGCATGAAAGTGGACCAGGCAACTAATTTTGGAATTGTTAGGCTTGCTGTGAATCGGGAAGGGACTAATCTTAGTCAAACGTGAAAAGCTGAAAATATGTTTTTAATCATTTCGGCTTTTTAGCCAATTGCCGAGTCCGTAATGAAACAAGTACAGAAAACAAGACAAAAAGCAGTTTAAGCAAGGAAATTAGTTAATCGACTGCGCCTTATGCTTATGTGACAACCTACGTGAACCCTAGTATTAGACACTAGTAGTGGCGTCGAGTTGGTAGGCAGGGGGTGTTCGACACATTCATTGTTCCATGGGTGACTGTACTGTACTTCAAAGTGGTTAGGGAATAGGCACCGTCTGAACTTTAGCGCAAGGCCACTTTTCGTAAAAGTAAGGAAACAAGTAATTCCCCCCCCCCTACCAAGACACACAAAATTCATCCACATCCCTAAATAGCTCCGAGTGAGGTTATGCTACTGACCAAAGAAGAAACAGGGGCAACGCGTGACGGAATGCAAAGTTTCTTACATATTTTTACATCTTCTTTATCCTCATCGTATTTTGGACAGGCTGGGTGTTTGTCAATTGCACGTTCAACCAGTAACTTCAGTGCGCCACGTGAAAGGACGTATCCGGCACCTCCAGAAAAGTAGCCCTCCTTTTGAAATCTCTACAACAGAAAAAAGTGCCCTCAAAATAGGTGGTGCACTTAATTCGATCTATGTTTATCTAAGAAAACTTGGGGTACATGTGCAAAAAATTGAATTTGAGCGCAATGTTACGGCTAAATGCAATAGGCATTTTTGACAGGAGTAACCTTAACAGTAGGTTACACGAACTGCAGTCACTCGTAAAAATTGGACCGTGATGACTCGATATCATGACCTGTGGATGCAATCGGTGATGTTAGTCAGGCGCTTCAAGGTAAAACAGACAATTTGACGATAAGTCAGTGCATACCGCTCTCATGTGACTATCACCGTTGTATTCAGGTACCGGGCTGCAGTATCATTTATGTATAAAGAGCACAGGAATTTGTCCCTAATTCGCAAGCGGGGTAAGTCACTTTTGCGGAGCCTTATTTTCCAAGAGAATGTAATAAACACTGTTCAACTATTAAACGTTAATGAGCAGGGGGCCTCATGAAGCAGTTGACATCAAACACAAGAGGACCGTCTCCTTTGGTTAAACTGAAAACATTGATAGACTTTGCCATGAGGTATCTTCATAATTATCTCCTAGTGGACTTAGTAAAACACGTCACACGTTAAGATAGATTTATCCGTTAGAGGCAGATAGCGGGAGCTCCGAGACAAAACGGAGCGTTGTATTTTCCCCTGCTAGGTCGAGGACTGTTATTCCACCATTGCACTGGAAAATTTAGATCTTGGCCTATGGGTTTGGGCTCCTGACCAAATGGTGAAGTGTTTTTGTCAATAAGCAAAGATCGCGAATTCACGATAAGGGCCTCCTTCAAGTATAGTTTTGGAACGACTGGCTCGTAAATTGACCAGTATGTGTCATTCCGGTCTTCCTTGTTTTTGTCGCTGCAAATCTTCAACTAAAGATTTGCCGAAATCCTAACGTCAGAGGCACCTCATTACGGATTATACAGCAAAAAAATTTACCGATAGCAAGAAATAATCTGAACCAGGCTCCGGAACTTCCTAACATGAAACATACAAAGAATTAGGGCATGACAAGCCTTACGCGAAAACGGTGTCCCATCATGAATGGCTTGTCGGGGTTTCTTCGGCTCAGTTCATCTGCCAGGTTCTCCGCAAACAGGTAGGTATCATCATCCGCCTTGTAAAAGTAGTCGTAATCGTTCCGGTATTGGTATACATAGCGCACAATCTTCCTCATCTTGCTCCACAAGTGCATTCGACTTTCCGGTTTCGTGAGATTTAAATCTGGAAAAGACAGAGGAAATGGACAAAAAAGTGGGGGTCTGCTGTCGTGTGTACTGTATAGCACGACACTAGGAAAACAGAGTAGGTTTTAAAGTCTACTTTAACGGGAACTTCATATCAATAGTCTTCTGTCCTGTAATCAGGTAGGATTAGCGAACGCCAAACCACGCACATCTTTCCAAAAGATAGGATTATGATTTTCTCGTAGGTAAATCTCGCCAGATTTTTCAGTACTTCCTATGGACATCTCATACAGAGAACATTGTTAATTGTATATGAGCGCTCCGAGTAAAAATAGTTCTTTGACCTCCAGGCAAATTTGACTGTGAGCAATGCTCTGAATTTGGCGGCAGTTTCATTAACCCATATGTTCAGAAGATGAATTGGCGAACATACGCTTGGTTTCGATAAATTCTCCTCAGGCCTTTAAATTTATATGGTAATTAAGTAAATACACTATGCGGGTTGGTAGAAAAAATAGTACGGTTATCAGGGGAAGGGGGGACGGGGTCAGAATCTAATCAGCGTTAGGGGGGACTGGTAGTCGCCCGAGGTGATAAGCTGCTGGCTTTTGGATTAGCGGCTTTTGCCCATGGTAACTGCAGCGCCGGGACGAAGTTCTTTTGGGCGCAGAGGATGGGTCGGCGTAGCCTGATGGCGGCCGCTTCTGCCGTAGCCAACAGACGCTGTCCAAGAAATGGTGAATAGCTTGAGGGTACCTC